CCCTTTGCCCCTTTTCCTATTTCACATTATCTATTATACCTTTTAGTCCTTATTTACACTTTCAGTTTCTCACACTAGAGAAACTATTTGGTAGAAAAACATAGTTTTTATTTTTGGAATACTTGCAGTCCAGTTGGAAAAGTCAGTACATGAGCAATTTTTCCATTTAGTGCAGTAAGTATAGTGATTAAGGCATGTACAGTGTTTTGAGGGCACTAAGGCAGCATCTCCTTCTGCGACAGCAGTTGAAAGGGTGAGAGGGAAGGGGTGGGTGTTGAATGTCGCTAATGAGCTTTAAATGAATGGTAGGGTAAAGCAGACCAAGACTGGAGCCAGGTCTCCTCTCAGTACAGTCAAGCAGGTTGAGCAAAGGCATGGAGGTGGGGAACAGCATGGAGCCTGGGGCAACTACTTGCAGCAGATCATTGCTGTCACTGCTACTGTGATGCAAGTTGGGCAAAGACAGATGGAGTTAGGAGAGCAGGTCATGGAAGTCACATATGCCAAACTCCCAGCCTATAGCCTTCTTCAAAGATGATAGAAAACGTGTAAAGGGCTTTTACCAAGGGAGAGCTGTGATTCAATTCCTGTTTTGGATAGATCATTCTTAACACCCAGAGGAAATGGGTATGAGAGGGCCTAAGGTGGAGCACAAAAGATCAGTTGTGCTGTTGCCATAACCCCTGCAAATGATGACGACTTGGGGATTCACTTTAGTATAACTTGGGGATTAGGAATTTAGACCCCAGAGTCAGTCCACTGGGTTTTTTTATCTTACCATGTTCATTCATGAGATGTTTGACTTAAGCAAGTTACCTTCTGGGTGTTTCACTTTCCTCTTTTTAAAATGGGGCTTTCCAAAGTGTTGAGTTCAGTTCAGGAAGCTTCCCTGTTCTGTTAATTAAACTTTGGGACATTGAAATAGGCTGGGGGAGACTACTGGATAGAGTATTACTCTCTTCATTTACCTCCCAGCCTACAAAAATGAAAAGAAAAAGAAAACACAAGGCTAACAGTTGTAACAACTCAGGGTCATTGAGAGAACTGCCTAAGACAGATAATAGATGATAAATGCACATTGGATAGTTCTTATTTTATTGGCTTTGAATGGTGGTACTACATTGCTTTAACCGAATACCACAGGCTGAGTAATGTATAAAGAATAGATGTTCATTTGGCTCATAGTGCTAGAGCCTGGGAAGTCCAAGAGCATGGCGTAGCATCAGCACGTGGTGTGGGCCTTGCTGCAGCATGGGATGGTAGAGGGCCTCACGTGGTGAGGCAGAGCTCATATGCTACCTCAGATCTCTCCTCTAATAAAGCCACTAATGATGAGTTTGGAGTAACATATTCAAACCACAATAGGTACCACAGTGTGCAAGAGGAGATGTAAATGTGAGAAGTTAACGAGGCACAATATAGTAACTCTTAAAGAAAACTTGCCAGCATCTCTGTTCTTCTGGAAGACTTAGAATAAATACTTTTTGCTTTTTGTTTTTCATGTTCAATAAATGAGGCCACACATTGGGAAGTGGATCTGAAGGAATGAGCCCCGGTAATCCTTTGGCCTCCCTTTAGGTGATGTTTGAAACCCTTCTCTCATCGGGTCTTCTCAAGGCAAAATATGATACCCTTAAATGATTGTTTTGATTCTTGTTTTGCTAGTCACCTCATAGAGATCTTGATTAACATGGAATAATGAAAAAATACATCATGAAAGATGGACATTGGTATATATATGCTGAACCAAAAATTCCAGAAAGTTGACCTTTTTCATTTGGAAGCATTTTTGGAACTTGGTTTCTTTTCCTCCTGAGTGAGAATAGAGCTTGCCCTTTCTGCTGCTTAATGTTAATCTCTTCTTTGGAGATGACTAAGAATAATGCTGTGTCACTACAGGCCTTAACCGTGTAGTCACTGAAGAAGCTTAAGGGAATCTCCAAGTTTGAGGTTGTGCTTAGCTGCTTTATATAGCTTATTTGGATGTTTCACTAGTAAACTATTCAGGTGGACATTAAGAGATGCCTGGAGGAAGAATTATTTTCTCCATCAATTTCCTGTGAAATAATAGTTGGAAGTAAGTCTTTGATGTATAATTTTCTGACCTGAACTATATAGCAACATTTAATAATAGCTAACTATTAAAAGTAGTTTTCAGAATTCTTTTACATGTTCTCTTATTCCTTACAAAAGTGCAATGAGGTAGCATAGAGTTAATGTTATTCTCATGATCTCAAGTTAAGAATTTGATGCTCTGAAAGGTTAAATTTTCCCAGTGTGGCGATAGGACAGAGTAGTCACCATTGATGGGAACAGTCAGACAGGCATGGATTTGAATTTTCATTGTCATCTTATCAATTGAGGATCTTCCACATGCCATTCAACTTCCCTAGCCTTTCTTTATAAAATCCCCGACAAGTATATCCATAGGCCCTGGGGAAGGTCAGTAGGTGCTCTGTGTATGAAACACAGCAACAGTGTCCAATCACTGACATACATGCAAGCATTCATTACCACCCCTCTCTCTCTCTTGCAACTGAAAGGATATATTAACATGCAAAACACTGTCTCTGACCTATGTTTTTTGAAGCCTGTTTTAAGCCTTAATTATTTTTATTACATCAGTGCTTATCCTAGAAACATTTCAGTTTATCCCTGAGGTCTAGCAATAAAATAGCAGTTAAGTAACACCATAGGCTATTAGGAAAGAGCAGCCATGAGGTGGAAGGGGTTCTAGGCTTTAATTCTGTTCTCTGGCTGATTAATTTTATAACCCTGGGTATTCTCTTTACCCATGAAATGATACATGGGAGAATAGTTGGGTGTCGTAGAAATTACCGTGAATTTAAAGGTGAGTTTGTGATCAGATCTTAGGATCTTATGTGTTCTGTTGGATAAAAAGCCTAATGAAGACTTTCCCTTCCTGCCTGTACCCACATAGTTTATCTGGGGTATTAAATGTTTCCCCAACATTTAATAAATATCTGTTCTTAGATTTGAATCAGTACTTACTAGGAAGCTAAATTCTCTTTAAACTTCATATTTACCTGATCAGGTATTCTGGGATTTTCTTTTTTAAACCAGAAGTTTCTTTGAAGCAATCTCTTCAGTAATATTTATCACCCACCCATGGTGGCACACACCCATAATCCCAGCACTGAGGCTGAGGCAAGAAGATCACGATGAGTTCAAGGCCAGCCTGAGCTACATAGTGAGTTTGAGGCCAGCCTGAACTATACAGGAAGACCCTGTTTCAAAAAAAACAGTCTGAGCTGGGGATTTAGCTCAGTGGTTTCACCGCCTGCTGCGCAAGTGCAAGGACCCAAGTTTGATCCCCAGTACCAAAAAAAATCAGTCAATGGGATAAATGGCTAATTTCTTTTGCTTCCTGTAAAATATGGGACAATAGTTAAAATTGTTATTTCTGTCCCATATTTCCATATCTGCTGATATATTTGACTACTGTGAAGCTGCTATGTTAGGTACTATGGAGGGTACAAAGTCATGGTCAGTACCTGCCCTCGAAGAGCTTTCTTTCTGTTTGGGAGCTGAAAGGGTTTGAGGAGAGAACATCTATATAATGAACTTCATACTAAAGAAGTTCCAAATACATGTGTGTATATATAGGCGACCCATTTTTAGAAAGTCTTGTCTAACAATTCACTATATAAGCAAATTTCTAATTGAATGAATTTTATCATAGTCAGAATTTAAACTTTGATTGTATTTCAAGATCTATATTGCCTTTATGAAATTAATCTATTTTGAGACTGTTTAAAGATGCTGGATGATTGTTCCATTTTGACATCCTGTATATACAATAATCCATTTTTCTTGGGTTTTGTTAGGTTTTTTTCCAGTTCCCTGGATTCCGCTGACTGTGTGTCAAAGCAGACAAGCAGCCAGCCTCTAAGTGAAACAGCTGTCAGAGAAAAAGTGACTGATCTCAGTGAATCAGATTGCCCAGACCTAGAAGGCAAGAAGCTGGTAGATACACAGGCAGCACATAATTCAAGTGGTGAGAGTCCAGATGATGTGACTGTGTTTGCTGGTGAAGAGCCTCAGTTTGTTAGGACCGGCACATTCACAAGGACCATTTCACCACCCACTCTGGGGACACTAAGAAGTTGCTTCAGTTGGTCTGGAAGTCTCAGAGAGTTTTCAAACTCTCTGAGAACCTCTCCAAAGCCAAGCACAATGTCACAGCAGTTCCAAAGAAAAAGCGGTTCCCCTTCCTCTCTGCCTGAAGACACTAATATGTCTGATATGTCTCAGTCAAAGAGTGATGAGTCAGGTGATGAAGCTCAGCCCTTACGTGAAATGGATTTGTCCTCACAGTCTCAGAAAAGTATGGAATTCTCACCACACAGTTTAAATGCATCAGAACTTTCTCAGCCTTCTAGTAAGGATTCCGATTCAGAGGTGAGTCAAATCAGGAAGCCTTTGTTTGCAGTTTACATGTAAGAGAAAATAAGGTGTTAGGCAATTGAGGAAATTTTGCCTACATGATGGAAATGACCAGCTATCTTAACATTTTACTATAAGTGCTACTGTGTAGGAAGTTAACATTTTATTCATTTTGAAGGACTTTTCTGTATCTTTTGTATTTTCAACTCCTGTACATTTAAACTGATTATACTTCCTTAATCCCCATGTGTTCCATTGATAGGAACTTGAGTTGTGGCACAGTTAGCACCTACACAGAATGATAACCTATGAAATGAAAAATGATTATAAATTTACTGCGTAAATCCTTAATATTGTATAACCTTGAATTCAGATATGAGACTGTATAAAGAAATGGCCCTACTAATATATTGTTGTCTGCCTTAAGTTTTAGAACTTTAAAAGCATTTTCGTTTTTATTTTTATTTCTGCTAACCTTTAGTTTATGAAAAAATACTAACACAAATGACTTTATGTTATTATATTTTTAATGATGGATACCGCCTAACCACTTTTTTCTTCTATATCTTTTATCCTGACTTTGATTTTTTATTTCTGGCTTTAATTTTTGTTTTGTTTTATTTGTTTGGTTTTTTTGGTACTGGGGACCTTGTGCTTTTGAGGCAGATGTAGTGCCACTGAGCTAAATCCCTGGCCCTTCTGGCTTTGATCTGACTAAAATCAAAACTCCAGATAAGGGCCGGGGATTTAGCTCAGTGGTTCCGGTGCCTGCCTTACAAGCGCAAGGTCCTGAGTTCGATCTCGGGTACAAAAAAAAAAACAAACCTCCAAATAAGTACTACTTATAAGATCCAGTGACATATTTTAAAACGGCATAATGCCATTACCTCAAATTTACCAATATAACACGGTTCCATCTTTACCAAATATTACCAAGTTGAACGAATTGTAACCACTGTAATATTTGACAAAATTTTAATGTCTGATACTCCTGAATATTGAACAACACTTAATAAATCAGTACAGCTTGTATTTATCAAAAAGAAAATTATATTGGTTTCAAGTTATATTGGATTCGAACTGAAGTAAAAGCCAAGCTACCATTTGGAAATAAATTGTTTTCATTTGGAGAAAGCTGAAATCAATTTATATATTTGAACCCTGAGGCTTTCTGTAGCATCTTCTAGATTTTTAGAAGCATCTCAAGCCAAATTTGTGCTACCTTTGAAATTTTGGCTTTTCTTTTCCCTTTGTATTTCTTATTCTTACTGGTTTAGAAGACTCTGTTTCTTTAAATAAACTTCTCCATGTTAGTGTCTTTTTTTTCCCCTGTTTGTACACCATACTGCATTTCCTCTTAATGATATCTGGGTACCACCACAGCCGCTATCTCTTGAACATCGTTCATAAATACATCTGTTTGTGAGGATGGTTTAAGTGTGTTGGCTTACCTGTTTCTTTTCTCAGCATGCATCTTCATGTTTCATTTACTTTGCAAGCTTTTGGCCATGTTTTCCTGAGAAGCTTTGCCAGCCCACAGGCTGGGCCAGTCCTGCCAGCACAACACAAGAAAAGACATACTCTGTCTTCTGTTCTGGCTCACCATCTTTTATACTAACCTCTCATAGAGATGTGAACCCCCCTCACCCAAAATATAAACTAATCTAGGAACCATTCATTGACTCATTGCTCTGGTAAGCCAATAGTAAGTTCTTCTTAGGATTATTAATTCTCAAACAATTGAATGTTAACCTTATCGTGGATTTAGAAAATGTTCCAGGAAGTGAAAATGTCTTGAGGCTTTATTTTTAGTATCAGTTTTCCTCCTATGCTCCTGGAGAAAATGTTTCGATACTGGGGCTTTCTATTGGTAGTTCACTGTGAAAGGCGACAGCCATAGGTTCTGTCTGGTTTTTGGTTTTTGTTTGTTTGGTTGGTTGGTTGGTTTTTTGGTACCAGGGATCGAACTGGGGTCCTTGCACTTGCTCAGCAGACGAGGAAACCACTGAGCTAAATCCCAGGCCCGGTTCTGTTTGTTTTGAGGTCACTGACCCTATTGGAGGTCAAAGTACGTAGGGTCTTACAATCTTTATGGTAAGTCAATGGGATCACCACTACTGTCAATTCTGAACAAGGAATATTAGGGTTATATAATAAATAAATTATCTCTACATCCTTTTGCAAAAGTGGAAAAATGTAAAATTTTCTGAATTTTCTTCATTGTGCTTTTCTTCTCTTTAATGTTGAACATGTGACACAATTAAGAGAGGACTAGCAGGGGATTTAGCTCTGGTTCTGCCGCCTGCCTCGAAAGCACAAGGTCCAGAGTTCGATCCCCGGTACCAAAAAAATAAAAAAACAGAGAGAACTAGAGCTTCATTGGTTCTGCTTTTTGTAGCTCATAATTTATGAAAACAGTCAGCAGAGTTGGGGTAAAACTGTTACAGTAGGAGACTGGTTTTCTCTGAGTCAACATTTTGACAGGCTCTGCAAATGGTTTAGAAAAGCCTTCAAAATTACTTTTTTTTGTACCGGGGATCAAACTTGGGTCCTTGCGCGCAGCAGATGGCGAAACCACAGAACTAAGTCCCCAGCCCCAAAAATACATTTTATATAAACAGTTTACTTCAGCTAAATCATCTTACTATCTTCAGTGAAACTGGTGAATATCATCCTTTGCGTGTGACATTTATTTTCTTCTATTAATTATAGGCTATGTTTTTATATTTTCTTTCCTTGAAATTGTATTTACACCAATTGTTTTCATTTTACTTATTTTCCATTTTGTTGAATATTGGTTAGTTGTCATAAAAATTCCACAGTGAAAAAATCTAATTCTACTTTATTTTTGATCTTGGCAATCTAGGAGTCTGATTGTAATAATAAGTCACTTCATAATCAAGGTAATCAGAACTCCAAGCAACATTTATCTCATTTTTCAAGGAAAGAGACACTTCTAAGGAATAAGGTAAAACATTTATTAAAATTTTCTTTAATTTTAGAAGTAGTATATGTTTATTAGAGAAATACAAAATTAAAATATTTGCTTTTCTGGTTTATAAAAAAGTCTACTTTCAAACTTCCTAGTAGAGTATTTGTGCTTAACTGTAGGTATTCAAGATGTTAAGCTGAAGCCTATTTCCTCTTGCAATATAAAGATCTTTTTCCATGTCTTATATAATCATTATTTATAATCACTGTAATATGCCATCGTATGGGTTTATATAATTTATTACTTTAAAGAATTTGTGCTGTTGCAAACAGCATTGCTACCGATGTGAGTAAATATTTGAGTACATATTCTTGAATAATATGTAGAACTGAATTCCATTGAGTGATATTACTGGTCCCAAGGAATGTATGTTCTAAAGCTTTCGTATGTATTTCCAAAAAGCCTTCTCAAAATTGTCCCACAGTAAGGCAATTTTTAAAACTTTGCCATTCTTTTACAACCCTAGCTAGATTAATCAGTTTTATAACTTTTTTATATACTTCATTTGTACTGTTCTAAAAAACAGCAAAATTTCACTGGCTCTATACTGTCCACAAAGTAAAAATCAACCCTTCAGTAGAAACAAAAATAGAAATTTAAGTAAATTATGCTACGTGGAAGAACAGGGAACTTATTCAAAATAAAATTCAGTTCTACATGTGACGTGGAAAAATCTTCCGGATGTATCATTGAGTGGAAGCAAGAAAAAGGAAATAACAGTGTATAGAATGCTGCCAGTTTTCTGTGTGTCCTGTGTGTGTGTGTGGATGATTTAGTGGATGCACAGGAAACCTAACAGCCATTGCTTCTGGAAAGAGGGGCAGAGAGTTAATGAGACTCACTTTGCTCTCTATTCTTTTGTATTATCTGTTAATATAATTATCATTTCTGTAGTAGACATTTGTAAGTAACACTTTTTTTTTTTTTGGTACTGGGGATCAAACTCAGGTCCTTGAGTTGTGTAGCAGGCGGCGAAACCACTGAGCTAAATCCCCAGCCAAATAACACCTTTTTGTATGTTGCTTATGGGTTATTTTTCTGTTCCAATGTGTAAAGAATACTTTGAAGTTAACTAAAGATAGTTGCTTTGATAGAGTATTATTAAAGTGGATGTTTACTCTTCAGGTTCCTGGGCTAAGTAAATCTAGTTCTGTGGACTGTCTTTCTGCCACCAAGATCAAAGCTCTGGTTCCTGCCAGAGTCAGTGGGCTGAGCAGGAAGCCAGCAAGCATCCAGAGGAGAAATCATCGCAATGCCGAGAACAAGCCAGGTTTACAGATAAAAATCAATGAGCTCTGGAAAAATTTTGGTTTTAAAAAGTGAGTTGCCTCGTTCCTACTCTGACTTCTTTTCAGTAATTCCTGTTCCCTTCTCCCAACTCCAGTCTCTAGTTTCATGTGAATCAATTTCTGATTCAGCATTGATCCTCAGTCTAGCTTTGGAGTCCCCCTGTGAAGCCTGTTACTTTTCTAGGTGTTAAAAATCTCAGCTTTCTTTCATTCTTATGTCCTAGAATTGTGATGAGAATAGTTTTAGACAGGTAAAGGCAGTAGTGCTGTATTGTATTTCCCTAAATTATCACATCCAGAATGGGGAGAATTGCTGATTTTATGTAACGAATTTGCCAGATTTCTAGTGTAGGCAGCACACATTGTTTTAAAAAAATTGGGCTGGAGATTTAGCTCATTGGTCCCGCCACCTGCCTCAGAAGCGCAAGGTCCTGAGTTTGGTCCCTGATTCAAAAGTAAAATTGATATTGTATTAGCCAGGCAAGGTGGTGCATACCTGTCATCGTGCACACCTGAGGAGGCTGAAGCAGGAGGATCTCCACAAGTTCAAGGCCAGCCTGAACCACACAGCAATACCCTGTTTCAAAAAACTAGGAAAAAAAAAATGATCCTGTATATACCTATTTTTTTAACCACAAACTTCCTTCTGTTAGACTTCAGAACTAGCTGCAAAGCAGCATCAATTTAATACTTTACTTTCTTACATTTCTTAATAGAGCAAAGTGTTAAATTTAATGAGTTTTTTTTTTAACTTGCATGGGCTCATAGGATTAAACCTTATTTAATAGAAATATTGTCACAGTCAGATGAGCTAGTATGATAGGGAACACTTTGTAAATAAGTAAGTACTGGACAATTGTTTCTTATTTTCCTTTATGCAAAGTTTAGGATTAAATTCATACAGCAGCAGCTCAGGTTCCTTTATAGTCTTAAAAATTACTGAAAGCCTGAAAACACTCGAGTTTATGTGAGTTGTATTTGTCAGCACTTCTCACCATCTTAGAAATGAAAATCGACATTTAAATAATTTCCATTTTTAAAATAATAATGGGCCCATTACATATGAATACTGTAAAATTTTATGAAAAATGGTTATCTTTTCCAAAACAAAAAAAATAGGAAGATTGGCAATGTTTCACACTACAAGTTTTTGTTTGGCTTAATAGAACTCAGCTGAATTATTATATCTCCTTCTGCATTTCATCTGTTATGACATGTCATTTTGGCTAAAGTACAGTACAGGAAGGATACATAGCCCCACACATATTTGCATTTGGAAAGAGTATATTTCGGATATGCATTAGATAATTATTTATTTTCTTCTTTGCTATTATACCAGAGTTCAATAAGCCCTAGGGGCTGGGGATTTAGCTCAGTGGTTCTGGTGCCTGCCTCGCAAGCACTAGGTCCCGAGTTTGATTCCCCGGTACCAAAATAAAATAAAATAAAATAAGCTCTGCTTTCTTTCATTCGTTCTCTAAGTATTGGGAATGGAATCCAGGGCTGCATCCTCAGTCGTTTTTCTTATTTTATTTTTTTGATTTTGAGGCAGGTCTCACTAAGTTGCTCATACTAGGCTCCCTAGACCCTCCTGCCTTAGCCTTTCAGGCATGCATCTCCACACCTGGCTCACTAGTGCATTTTCAATGGGTCTTTTACTTTGATGTGGAAACATTATGTCATGAGTTGTATTTTATAAGGGAAAAAAATCATAATCAGTAGTCTCAAGTATTGGAAAATATCAAGTGGCAGGTACAAGTTTTCTGAAATTCTAAGTTTTGCTTGAATGATATCGTTGATAACAAGTACTGTGAGTTACTTCTTTTGAAATAACTGGCCATCTCTGTTCATTTTAGAGAAGTCCTTTACCAAGTCCCTAAATTTGAATGACCATAATGTCACACATTTTTACTTTAGATAACCACCTACTGTGGTACACAACACAAGTGTTTTATATGTGCTGCTTCCCTTTTTTTTCCCCGTTTTTTTTTTTTAAGACAGGGTCTCACTGTGTAGTTCAGGTTGGCAGGCTGGTCTAAACTACATAGCCCAGGTTGGCCTTGAACTTGAGGTGATCTTCCTGCCTCAGCCTCTCAAGTGCTGGGATTACAGCCATGCACCACCACACCTGGCTTTATGCCTGTTATTGTCTTAATTCATACAGAGTTGCTGGCATCTCTCCCCAGTTCTGCTTTAGCATCATCAATACAAATGTCAGCACAGTGGAGAAGCCAAATAAAGTCTAAATGTTATTATGAAAATAGTTTTGGTATTACAAACACCCTAAAAGGGACTTGAAAACCTCCAGGAGTTCTTGCATGGAAGATACTGTGAACTGATGCTAGAAGAAAGTTAAGGATACAATAGTATTCTTAGATGCCATTTAGAAAATAAGACTGATGTTTCATGTTTGTTGTCAGGAGGCAGAATAACCTGTCCTATCATAATAGGATTAATTTTTATGGACATAGAACTTCCTTCCAGCAAAAAAGGCAGGAGGTAAAAAAAATAAGATTCAACCAAAAGTTCATTTCACTTATATTGGTTCTTAGACTTGAGAGGAAAGAATTAAAATTTCTTTACTGGAGTCTTTTTGTCTTAGCTAGTATATATCTAGTAGTGGCCCAGCACCTATATTGAAGGGTGATTTTAAAAGTAAGAAGAGACACTAAGTAGTAAAACTTTAAATTTATTGAAATACTCAGAGAAAACCTGAATGTGTTCCATAATGAATTGAGACAGATCTTTTACTAAAGGGGATAGCCGTTCCTATATGTATCTATGGGGTTTTTTTCCAAGTAGATTATTTCTTCTCTAATATTCAGTACCCTAAAAGCACCAAATTTACTTTGTTATATTTTGCAGAGATTCTGAAAAGCTTGTTTCTTATAAAAAGCCCCTGTCTCCAGTGAAAGATAACATCCAGCTAACTCCGGAAGCAGAAGAGGATATATTTAACAAACCTGAATGTGCCCATGTTCAGAGAGCAATATTCCAATAAACACGGACTGCTGGGAGGCTGCTGTCCTCTGGAAGATTATATCAATTGGAACTCCTTGTTTGGAAGTGAGGCGATTACCAGCCTGAAAGATTTGTTCTTAGACAACATTTTAAAACTAGAATGTATTTTGTATGACGTTAACTGCATAATTGTTTCACTCAGCTTTTTATATTTTCATAAAAAGCTAAAGAGAATAATTTTGTCTTTGATGGTTTTTTTGGAAGTTTTAGTGTTTAATTGGGCAAATCCTCTGGAGTTGATGAAAATCTAAAGATCTGTGTGATGTCTAGTATAAGATGGTAAATGGAAAGCCACAATTCTATAGTCTTTATGCTAGAAGAAATCACTGTTTCTCCAGGCTTTAGATTTTTCCTGCTGCTTTCCCTGTCCATCATCTCTGTGGACTTGAAAATAGAGTTGCTGTGATGGGAGGGACGGTTGAAAGGTTAAAGATCATTACCCAAATGCAGCTGTGTTCCATTATTCCCGAAGAGTTTGGCTGGTCATAGGTTGACAGCAAAGGACAGTTGTTTTCGGCCTCATGTAAAGGAACTATTTCTCTTTTTTTTGGGTACCGGGGATCGAACTCAGGACCTTGCGCTTGCGAGGCAGGCAGCAGAACCACTGAGCTAAATCCCCGGTCCAGGAACTATTTCTTGTGTCATTAATATTCTTCAAACTTCAGAACAGCCTCAGGTTTTCTTCATGTATTTTGAGTGTGGACTGAAAATTCCTTAACATCTATTTGAAACTAGTACCCTCCACACTATAAAACCCTAACACTATAGGGTCCATGACAGGCATACTCTACAAAAATTGACAGATGCCTGGAAAGAGAATGGCCTACACATGAAGATCTGGAATGACAAGAAAGCAATAAAGGAATTTGTAATAAACAGGATAAAAGAAAAGGACCAGAGCATATTAACTTTTCAATTAAGAAAGAGACTCAATCTGGAAAAGGCCTAGTCCAAAGAACAAAAGCAGATTTGGATTCCCTGTAAATGTTTGCTACTATAGGCAAATTTAGCTCAGTGGTGCCTGCCTCGCAAGCGCAAGGTTCTCAGCTCAGTCCCCAGTACCCAGGAAAAAGTGAATCAGACATTGTGCACACATATTTGTCTCCTCGCTTATTTAAAATGCCACTTAAATGTAAGGAAATGAACAAAATGCCATAAATCCACAAGGGTTAACAGAATGGACAGGGAGATGGGACAAGGAAACCAATGGATGAGGAGTAAATGATCTCTCAAAGCACTTTTTAAAATGGTTTTTCTAGCAGCAGAAGCCAACAAGAAAAATTCTGAATGGGCTCAGTAAATGGAGACATTCAAGTTCCTCTGCCTACTAGAGGACCCAGACTCAAAGGAGCAAGTTGAGGAATTTGAAGTTGGCAGGGCCTTTGCCAGTTCCAGTGGGTGAGGGCAACAGGCCTGCCTGAAGGCTGAAGAACTTACAGACCCCAGTGTCATATGGTTTAGTACTGCATGAGGAAAGGCCTGGAGACTGAGTTCAGGATAAATTTCTAAATTCAGGGTATAAAATGTCTATATCCACCAGGGCATATATTTTTATACCATATTTGGAAAGTTTACTTGGCATATATTACTGAAACTTTCAACAACCGCAAAATGATGCAAGTTGTCAATTGTCATGCATTCAGACCATGTATAAATTGCTTGACAATGCCACATCTGTCACTTCTCCATAAATCCTTTAGATGCTGATAATTAGAATGATAAAGTTGTGCTATGAAGGCTTTTAGTTCAGATAGTGAGATGTCATAATAAATATATTTTTATTTGCATTACTGTTTTCTTCATCTGAACCAAGGTCTTCATTCTGTACTTCTCTGTCATATCTTGCTAATTGCTTTGGCTTATATGATCCAAGTCATCATCAGTAGCTGAATCACTTGACTCATTTTCAATCTCCTCCCAAAGTTGTAAAAGTGAATTTTCATGTGACATAGAATTGAGCTAATTCTATAAGAAAAAAAGAAAAAACATGTAATAAAAAATTATAAATACACAAAAATGTAACTGCGTAACATGGACAAAACTCACCCATTTACACTGATACATGTGCACACACCTTGCCATTCATTGTACCAAGTGAGGAAACACAAAGATTGCTTTCAGTATTCCCCCCCAGCACAATTACTGAGACACACAGCCAATTATCATTATGCTAAAATACTTAACTTTAATTGGAAAAATATGGTGGGACATATTTTACCTACCATGATTCCCCTTAAATGATCAGGGTGGTAGTTCCTGAAGGTTGAAATGGCTATGGCAACTAACTGAAGTAAGATGTCAATGTTGCTTGCTGCATTGAGTGACTTCCTTTCGTGAAAGATTTCCCTACCTTGCAGTGCTATTTGGTAGCATTTTATACACAGAATGCTTTCAAAATTAAAATCAGCTGGGTGTGTTGGCACATGCTTGTAATCCTAGCTATATGGGAGGCTGAAGCAGAGGATTGCAGATTTGCCAGCATGGGCAACTTAGACCCTAGGCCTATGTCAAAGGGCGGGGGGGGGAGTGCACGCCTCACATGCAAGGCTCTGGGTTCAATGCTACTCATGACCATGCCTGCAGAATGGCTGTTGTGTTAGCAGACATGAAGCATTGATCTTGGCCATTTTGCTTAGCTCAGTTGACTTGAGTACATTGTCAATAAGCAGTAATATTTTGAAATGACAGTGGCATTCAGCCCCAATAACAGCTTGCCTTTTAAGTGTAGGCATTGACTTGTGCCCTGTAACTATAAAGTCAAGTCCTAGATGGTATCTTCTGCTAAGTAAAAGCTAAGTAAAGATTTGAAAATCTGGTGTTTGGTGTAATCGCTGTCATCAGTTATCTTAGCCAGGTTTTCTGGATAACCACAGCTTCTATATCAACATCTGCTGCTTACCTTGCACTTTCATGCTATGAAGCCAGCTTCTTTCCTTAAACTCCTTGAATCTACCTCTCTTAGCTTCAGACTTTTCTTCTGCAGCTTCCTCACCGCTCAACTTTAATGGAATTGAAGACTTAGGGCCTTGCTCTGGATTAGACTTTGGTTTAAAGGCATGGTATGGATGGTTTGATCTCTCTACATCAGTAAAACTCACACCACATCAGTAGGAAGCCTCTTTGGTTTTTTTCATCATACATAAATCTCCTGAAGTAGCACTTTGAATTTCCTTTAAGAACCCCTCCTTTGTATTCATAACTTGGACAACTAGCACAAGAGAGTGGCCTAGCTTTCATCCTACCTCAGCTACTAACAAGCATCCCCTCAGTAAGCATGATCATTTCTACCTTTGATTTAAAATGATACCTGAGATTCCTCCTTTCACTTGAACACTTAGTCATTGCAGTGCTATTAACTGGCCTCATTTCAATACTGTTGCATCCCAGAAAGTAGAGAGGCCTGGGCAAAGGAAGAGAGATGGAGAAATGCTGGAGCCATCAGAACACACAGCAATAAGTTCACCATCTTACACGGGTGCAGGTTGTGGGGCCCCAAGACAAAATCAGAACAGTAAAGATCACCATGATGGACATAGTAATTTAAAAGTTTGAGGCACTGTGAGAATTATCAAAACATGACACAGAGATGTGAAATGAGCACATGTCATTGGGTAGATGGTGCCAATTGACCCATCTGACCCAGGATTGCCACAAATCTTGAATTAGGAAGAAACACACTATCACCAAAGTGCAATAAAGTGGCACATGGTAAAACAACATAGGGCTATATTTTAATTCATCTGATTTTTTTTTTTTTGAGAACCAAGGTTCTTAGTATGGAAAAAAGAAGATATAGTTATAATATTCCTGTAATCCCAGCATTTGAGAGGCTGCCGCAGGATGATTGCAAGTTCAAAATCAGCCTGAACTACTTAGAAAAAAAATAAAGAATTTGAATCAGACATACTGCTATACAGTTGTAAATGTACGCTGACTGTGGGGGAGTAATCTTATACAAGTACACCCAATTCAAGTTCTTAACATCCAGGATCTCTGGCACATCAGTACCATTGTTTACTAAAAGAAACCAGGACTTCTTGGGAAATAGTCTGCCAGAAAATGTAAAGACACCCTGGGGCTTCTGTCAAAACAGATGAATGTTATCAAAGGCTGTCAGGTAATTCCAAAAAGATAGAGGAGCCAATTTAAAGGACCTCCCAGTCTCCAAACTTGGGAAGATTTTATCTCTAGCATTTTTATTTGAAGGTCTCTTATCATTTTCATCCCTCTACTGACATCCACTCATCTGCTCATGCATATCATTGATATTTTCCACTAGACCTTTAATATGCTAACTGTGGTTATTTGAAATTACCTGCTGATACTTCCAATATCTGAGCCATCTCTGAATCTGGTACTGTATTTTGTATCTTCATCTTTTATTTTCCCTTGTTTTTTTGTGTGATGCATAGATTTTCATCAAGTTCTACACCTTGAGGTATTAGTTACCAAGATAAATGATATTTATAGTTCAAAAAGGGCATGCTTCTTCCATCCCTAGGGTGGCAGAGTAGGGCACTATTAGTATAGTCAGGGGTGTAATTTGGTTTAGGTTTTGTTATGGGGACATTGATTTTGGTTGAAGACACACTCCACAGGCATCTATACAGTGAGGCCGCTATGCAGACTCATGAGATCCTGAGCTGAATTCCTGATGCATAAGGTTCAGAACAAGCAAAGTGACAGCTCCAAGCTACCACGGCCAGACCACGCTGAGAATTCAGGCGTTTTACCCTCCGTGTTTAAACTCGGAGCTAGAACTGGCTATCACAAAATGGCTTAACTAGAAAGCACAAGTTGGACCCCTGGGAACTGCTCTTGGTTGCAGACAGGTCACAGCCCAGACACTTGGTTTTGGGTGGATTAATGCTTTGTCTGCTAAACCATGAGACTACGAATCCTAAAGGTACTGAAAGTGGTGAGACCCGTGATAGACAGACAGACGCACAGACAGACAATTACTCTTGAGCAAAAGCCAGAGCCAATCAAGCCACACTGAGATTTCATAGCTCTACTACTACAGCTATGAAAACAGCTTTGCTCTCACACTGTCTTCAGTAAACTAATTTTGTCACACAGCTAAAGCTTTCTATCCTCTACGCTTTTATTCTCCTCTAAATGATGACTTCTTAGATCCTGTGTTTTGATAATGCGTGACTTCCAACTATGGAAGTGTTGTGTGATAGTGGAATAGGTAGAATGGGGTTTGGTTTTCAGCATTTTAGCCCAGAGACATGCGAAAGTACTCAAGTCAAGAGAGAATGGGGCCAAGTGGATAAAGATCTAGAAAGAATGGCAAACACGGGACACTCGGATCTGAAGCTGAAGAATGTGCACTAGCGAGGAAGGAAGGGAAGGAATCGGCATCCAACTTCAGCCCCATACAAGGAAGGGCTTTCCAACAGTTAGCCAAGAGGGGATGCTCTGTCGGAGCAGCTGGGGTGGGCTGCGCTGGGTTCCAGAGTAAGGCCAGCAGGAGATGGTATTCAGGCACTTTCTTGTCCTGAGGCCTTGGGGAGTCACTTAGCTCTTCCGAGCCCCATTTCCTCACCCTTAAAAGGAATAAAGAAATTATTTCTCAGTGCTTTGCTTTCCTTTCTCTTTAACACAAGGATTTGCTGCTAGGTTGCTAAGTTGCCCAGTCTGGCCTCAAACTTGCAGTCCTCCGGCCTCAGGTTCCCACGGTGCTGAGATTACAGGCCTGCACCACCACACCCAGATTCTTAGAGTTATGATGAGAATTCAATGAGATGATGCGTGCCTAGAGCTTACACTGTGCCTGCTACATGGCAAACCCTCTGTAAATGTTGTCCGTTCGCTCTTAGCAGTGGTGCGGTTTCTACACGTGCAAGCAGAGCACTGTGGTTTGCATGTGGGATGTCCACAGAGCCCAGGGGGAAAGAGAGCCTTGCTTGCCAGCCATGGCACCACTGGGAGGTGGGAGGACCGTGAGGAGCCGGGGCTTGTGGGAGGAGGTGAGGTCACTGGGCTCTGCCCCTGGGGCCCCGCCCTCCCCCTGGTCTCCTTCACTGCCCAGCTGCCCTGAGGTGAGCAGGTTTCTCTGCACACGCTTCCCCCTGCTGGGCAAGGGGTCTTGGCCCGGGCCCCGCAGCAACAGGGCCAAGAGACCATGAACTGAAGCCTCTGAAACCGTGACCCCAAAGCAACCTTTCCTCTTGGTCTAAGTTGTCTCAGGTACTTCGTCACAGTGATGGAAAGCCGGCGCACAGAGTGTGCGTGGTCCCTCGCGGGCTACCACAGGGCAGATGCCGCACTGGGCAGGGGTGAGGAGCTGGGAGGCTGACAGGAGCTACGTGCGGGTCAGAGGTGATGCATGAGAAGGGCCTGCAGTCGCAGAGTTGGACAAATGCTGGCACAGCCAACGTTCGCCCGGTTTCCTGACTCTGGCTGCTCTGGCTTTTCCTGTGCAACCCCGGAGTTCAACTGCGCGGTCAAACCTGGCCACAGAGCACGTCTTCACGGAGCAACGTGGAGGGAGACAGTGTCCTGGATACACTTTGCGAAACAGCGAAGGAGATGACTTCGAAGGCCCTTTCTGCCTCTGTCACTGAAGAGCCGTGAATTCCAAATACAGTGATGTTTACTGCCACTGTCTATTGAGAGCTTACTGTTTCTCAGGCAGGCACTGCATTCGTCACTTCAGATCGCTAATGTCAGATGACTCTCATAGCAGTAATAACAATATTGTTACTCTCCCCTTTGGACAGCTGAGAAAACTGAGACTCAGAGAGGTTAAGCCACTTCCCCAAGGTCACACAGCTAATGCATGGTGGAACCAGGAATGCAGCCTTGCCTCTCCCATCGAAGCCCTGATCTTCCTAGTCACGAGGCCATCCTTCTACAAAGACGGATTTCCTACCTATCACCGGGCTGAGGAAACATCACCATGAGTATCTGGGTGCATAAGAGCA